GATGGGACTGATTGGAAGATGGTGATTCGGGGCGCTCAATGATAACACGCAAGGAGGCATCACGGCGCTCCTCGTCACTGATGCATGTCATTTGCGAAAGAGAAAAGACGCAAGGGATGGTGTCGGTGTCAAGTATAGTGCTCGACTCAGCAACCGGGTAGCGGGACAGAGAGTCTGTGTCCTGATGTAGGCGTCCGAACTTGTACATCACCGTGTAGGTATACTCTTGCAGTCGCGGAGCCCAGCGCCCGAGCCGGCATGTAGGATCCTTCAGTGACGTAAGCAAACATAGCGCATGATGGTCAGTTATTACAGAGAAATTTGTGCCATATAAATATGGGCGGAACTTTGAGACTGCCCAAACAAGAGCGAGACACTCACAATCTGTAATGGAATAGTTGCGCTCAGCAGCTGTGAGGAGGCGTCTAGCGTAGGCGACAACTCGGTCGTGTCCCCGTTGACGTTGGGCTAGGACGGCTACAATCCCGTGACCACTAGCATCGGTTCGGACTTCTGTCGGAGCGGATGGGTCAAAGTGAGCCAATATAGATGGAGTCGTCTTAAGCGTGATTAGATGAGTAAAAGCCACAGCTTGGTCAGTACCCCACGTAAACGTGACGTCTTTCTTTAGAACCTCAGTGAGAAGCCGAGCGATGGTTGCGAAAGCTCTTCTAAAGTAGGAACAAAGTCCTACAAAACTGCGGACGTCTTTAACTGACCAAGGTACAGGAAAACTGGTGACTGCACGAATTTTCTCCGGGTCCGGCTGCACACCAGATGCGTCGACAAGGTGACCCAACACTGTAATTTGCCGGCGTCTGAAGCGGCACTTCGACGAGTTTAATTGAAGGCCTGCAGTGCGGAATATGTCGAGAATAGCTGACAAAGGCTGAAAGTGGGTCTCAAATGTTGGGGAATATACAACAACATCGTCAAGATAACAGAGACATGTTGACCATTTGAAACCTTGTAGCAGAGAGTCTATCATGCGCTCGAACGTGGCTGGGGCGTTGCATAGCCCAAACGGTATAACCTTGAACTGATATAGGCCGTCTGGAGTTACAAATGCAGTCTTCTCCTGGTCTTTTTCGTCGACAGCAATCTGCCAGTAGCCGGAACGTAGGTCTATTGAAGAAAAGTATCAGGCGCGGTGGAGACAATCGAGAGCGTCATCGATGCGGGGTAAAGGGTAAACGTCCTTTTTCGTGATTCTATTCAGATGGCGGTAATCCACGCAGAAGCACCACGTGCCATCTTTCTTTTTAACGAGCACAGCGAGGGACGCCCAAGGGCTCGAAGAGGGTTCAATGATTCCCTTGGCTAACATCTTGATAACTTCTTATTGTATTACTTTACGCTCGGTGGCAGACACCCGGTATGGTCGCCGATGAATGGGATGAGAATCACCTGTGTTAATGCGGTGCTTGACGAGTGAAGTCTGGCCGAGTGGACGGCTATCTGTGTCGAATATGTCGCAGTACGAAGCCAGAAGGCGGGTAGAGCGCGGCTGATTTCTCAGGTTCGAGGTCCGTAGCGATCATGGAGCGTAAGGTTGCATCCAGGCACGTGGCATTCTGCGAACCACATGGGTGATCGGGACATATGTCTGCCGCAAAACAAGTGACGTGGTCATCAATTAAGGGTCTTAGCGTGGCGACGGATAATCCTTGAGGTAGCACTTGTTTTATAAAACCGAAATTGATAACAAGTAAATATGTTTGGTTAGAGGCCATGGTTACGAAGGAGTGAGGGACAGTAATGTCACGTGCCAGGAGAACATCAGGAATAGGCGTCACGATATAATCACCGTCAAGCACAGGAGAGGGTGTTGCCAGTTCAACGAATGTGAGAGCTTTAGGTGCTATCCGAAAGAAGTCAGTGGTGCACAGGCTGTTCAGGGTGAGAATTCAGGAGAAGAGGAAGTTCTAAACAGAGAGTGCCGGCGGAACAGTCAATCAGGGCAAAATGTGTCGATAAGAAGTCCATCCCGAAGATGAAGTCATGAGGGCAACTGTCGAACACGGTAAATAAAACAGGAACATGGCGGCCGGCCAGGCTAATACGAGCGGTACACATTCCAATGACGGCTAAAGTTCCCCTATCGGCGACACGGACTGCTTGTGTTGCGACAGGCGTGAGCACTTTTTTGGGGCGGCGACACGGGCGAGCACTCATTATAGACGCCTGAGCTCCAGTGTCAACTAAAGCCGTCAAAGAAAGACTGTCCACATGCACTTCCAGCAAGTTCTTATTAGTAGGTAGCATCAACGGAGGATTTGGGTCAGTCGCACTTGATGCAGCACTACCTCCAGGAGCAGCATAATCTAGTTTTCCATCCGGGAAGATCCATAGTTAGTCGGCGATAGATAGCGACGGGGTTGGGGCAACGGAGAACAGCAGCGTTGCTGTGACAGTGAACGCCCAGTAGAGCGGCTGTTAGGTGCGTCGGGAGCAGGATACTCACGACTGGGCGAACATCGACTGGGGTCCGCGTAAGGCCGAGGAGAAGAAAATTGGCTCCAACGAGGGGGGGGGGGGGGTGTTTAAGTGCCGCGGCAGTAGCGGGAGACATGGCCAACTCGGTAACAGCGGAATCAGATTGGCTTGTCGTCTGCTATTCTCCACTTCGTCGGATTGCGGGATCTAGGCAGAGTGTATGGGTCGTGGCGTGGTGCATTTATTGGCATCAGCCTGTAGTCCGGTCGGGAGACGGAGCAGGCGACAGGAAAACCAAGGTTAGCAATTTCTTGTCGCACGACTGCCTGAATAACTGACACCGCCGGAGGCGTTTGAACGGTGCCCTGGTTGAGTAGAAGTGCATGAAATTGCACCGGACGGGCCGCCTCAAGCTCACGCCGAACAATGCGTGTGACATTCTCGTGCAAGGGTGGTGCGGCACCGAGATCGGTACAGGTTGACGTGACAGCCGTGTTAGGGAGCCGTGAAAATTGAGGCCGAAGTCGGCGGTTTTTGGCCATGTTGAAGCGGCGGCATTCCTCAATTATGATATCGACTGGTTGTGACGTTGTTGTACACGAGCAAGTTGAAAGCGTCGTCCGCGATGCCCTTTTGTATATGGTCCACCTTGTCGCTCTCGGTCATTTGCACGTCCACTTTGCGGCACAACGCGAGCACGTCCTGTATGTACGAGACATACGACTCGGTTGATGACTGTACTCGGGTAGGAAGTTCTTGTCGTGCGGCCGTTCGTCGACTGAACGGGTCCCCAAAGATGTCGCGTAGTTGGTCCTCGAAGATGTCCCAGCTGGTGAGCTTGGCCTCATGAGCGTCGAACCATACACGCGGGGTGCCATCCAAGTAAAAGATTACGTTGGCGAGCATCATGGTTGGGTCCCATCGGTAAGAGAGGCTAATGCGCTCGTACATGCGGAGCCAATAGTCGACATCAAGGTCAGGCTGGGCGGAGAACGTACCGGGATCACGGGTGTGGGACATCGTAAGGTACGTAGTAGCTGGCGCTCCAGGTGATGGCGGTGAGGAAGGGTTATCATTAGAAGCCATGGCCAGAGGCTGGACGGTACAGCCACTGCGAAGCTTCGTGGTGAGGACGGGGAACGTTCCACCTCCACCAAATATGTTACGGAAGAGAGACGCCGTATCGACGAGGCTGTGGATGAAATATATTTCAAACTAGCAGCAGCAGCGGCGTGACCGGTAGACTAGACAACGAGCGGTAAACACCCTTCGTCTTCCTCGTCAGGCACACACGCGCGTCGCCCCCTAGAATCTCAATTTGCATGCATGTAGCAATATTATCGGGATGACCCAGTAAATCTGATTTGGCGCATTGGCGCAGGAGTGGGATCACAGGATTTGCCGAGTCCTCACAGAGCCGGTGGCAAGCACGCATCATCTTTTTCTGGCATCTGGTTATAATTTGGTAACTAGAAATGTTGCAGATATCTTTGAGAACAAATATGTCCTGGCGGGCTCTGGTGATACGTGGGTAGGCAGAATTGCCCAGCTAGCGAAAAACAAACGTCAACGAGAAGTGCGCCACGCGATGGGAAGAGTAACCTGTAAATGAGCACCCTCTGGGGAATAGTGTAGAAGGTGAGATTTTATCAGCACAATGGCAGCACTGCTATGGTTACATGATGCAGCATGTTGTGTAGCAGTGGTAGCACGGCTGAGGTACTGCATGCTGGACTAGAAGAATGGAGCCTCCATTCATGCTATTACATTGTTAGCTTCATATAACGCCCCCTGCTGCTGTTGCAGTTATGAGGTGTGAATCAAAGTGTGTGAAACAGGTATGTATCCTGGTACTGTGCTACACATGCAGGATTTGCAATGTTCAAAGTCAGCTGTTTGAAGATTTTGACGACCACCATGGCTAGCTGCCTTCAAGATGGTGTGTGTGGTTGACACAGAGCTGAGGGGGCGATCGAACAATTTGGAGAAGATGTGGAGGGGACGACAGAGCAAAGCGAGAAGGCTAGGAGGCGCTGCGAAGAAGTCACCATTGCTAAGCAGCGGCAGCCTGCCACTTAGCGCTTCACAAGTACACGAGGGGGCCCTTTTTGCGTACATCAATGGCAGTTTCTGGCTGCAGAATTCATCATGCGACCGCAGTTTCCCGTGAAACTGAATGCTATTTTGTATTTTCCAGGAATGAATTCACCAGAATGTACTACACTAATTCCGTTATTTTGGGGTCATTGAGTTATCATTCAGTTATTTTTGGGTCATTATTTTTAGTTTTGCGATTGTGAGCGTGGAATGCGGAAAATCAAAGCGGTTACGTATGAACGAAGTTCTATCGTAATTTAAAATTACAGTTTTAGGCCCAACAGAACCAGCACATTAAGTAATTTTTGCAAAAAGTGAGAATGATATTAGTATCAGTTCATTCTTGTCTGGATTTCCACCACTCCTGTGCAACCATATACAAGTACTCAAGCAGTTGGGACATAAGCGTCCATTAAAATGCCACTATCGGGGTCACAAAACACACTGGAAGTGCCGTGAGGACTTGCCTGTGTTCCACAGATGAAACGCACTGAGCTCAACCCTGCACCATGGGTGTCAAGAGCCATCTTGCCAGCCTCGATCACATCTGGGTGACTCTGCAGGTGTTAAGCACGTCAAATAGGGCTTGCTTATTTGAAGACATCAATGCGGCTGACACCACTGTCATGTTCACAAATAAGTGACCGGAAAGTTTAAACATGAGATTACAAAACTAGGCTAGTTGGTACATTACAAAGTGGTAGTAGAGACTACCAGCAATCTTCAAATCGCCTTATTTTTAAGAGCTTATTCGGCCTTATCAATGGCCTTATTTCAAAATTCTGGGGCCATCGAAATTCCTTTATAAGTTGTGCAGCGTTGGTTTGATCAAAGAGAATTAACAAGTTTTTGCAAGGTGTGTTGATATTAACAGCACTTATGCTGAGGACTACCTGACACCTGTACAATCAGTGCTCAGCCAAGCAGCATAAAAAACAGCTTATGTAGACACTAAACACACGATCAAGTAACATAATCAACATGAGTAACAAAGGTGAAGGAAGTAGGATAAGGCACAGTACAACATATTATTCAGCATGCACTGAGAAGAACAAGGTACAAAAACAACAATGTGCAACATATTTATCGATATTAGCAGATTTGCCTTTAACACTCTTAAAGAAGACAATTTTCTTACTATATTTAACAGTTCTTTGTTAACATTTAGGACCCGAGGAATTTCGTTTTTTCAAGGACTGCGTCCCGTAATTTTTTCTGGTCTTGGGTAGTTTATACTTGATCACATGCAGGTTGCAGCCTGTGGTCATTCAAAGACAGCTGGATCCAAAATTCGCCCAATTTGCATGAACATAATAAGTGAGACCTCTGTGTAAGGAATACTTGGTAAAACTAATTTATACTTGATTTCATATAGAGATGTGGTATCATCAAAAGGGATATGTTCAAAAGCACGAATGGCTCTTGTTTTACAAAACTTATGGTTTATTTAAATAAGTTGGCAAATAGATTCCCAAACCAATACGCAGCAATGCAGATGTTAACTAAAGGTCAATATCAGCAATCTCCTGTGAGTAACAAGTCCCCCATTATCTCGCCACTACAAGTAGACTCCAAATCCACTCCAGCAAAAGTCATAACATTGATACGATCGGCCTCCTGCACAACATTTCCAAACATAAAGTTGGTGTTTGTATTGTGTACCATCCTCACATTTGGACATTTACAAGATGCAAAGCAGAAAGTGCAAGTTTCAGTGTGCATGACTAGAACAAAAGTACAGTCCAATCCACTTATAACGATCCTAGAGATAACGATCTGTCAGTTATAACGCCCACATTTTTATGCCCTTACAATTTTCCTATGCTACCCTTTAAAACTGAGTCCACATGCCGCTAACATTTTCCAAGGCTACCTACTTTTATAACGAACACTTCCGGCACAGTCGTGTAAAAATATGGCGCATAAGAAGCGAAAAAAAAAACATGGCTGATTCCTCCATCTTTGGAATCAGTACAACACGAAAGTAAAATGTCTCTTCACAGAAGTAGTTTAGTACTTACTATACATTGATGTAAGAGAGCTTATGTCTGTTAGTGTTTCACAGCTAAACTTAAGTACCGTTTTTCAGAAATGCATCCAGGTTAACGCTAAGTGATATATTTCAATTATGATGACTTACATCTGTAATTAATCATTGCTTAATGATTAAACACGTTCTTGTGGTCATGGATGCTTGTGGTAGTTGTAGTAGTTAACGGTGACAGTGGAACCAAAGGAAGCGGTGTGGCCACCAGAAGAGCATGACTGATTGCATGCCAAATTTGGGCTAAGGTCACCTACTTGCGACATATACGAGTTATTGAACGGCCCTGCCTTATTAGAGGGCAATGCAAGGCACATTGTGTCTTACCTTTTGGCTGGTTACAATTTTTCGCGTGGCGATTGTAAACGGGGAGGGCGGAGTAAGATCTAGGCGAAGCAAGCTCAATTCTCTATCCGTTGTGGAACTATTGTTGGTATGGATGAATGCTATCAGGCATACCGACACTTTATGTAAGGTCGACATCTGGCATCCTTCGTTAGATGACCTACCGAGAGTCCCAGGTAGTTGTTGGCGCACAGGTTGAGCACTGGCCGGTCCCAGCCTGCAACATGCACCAACGCCGCCTGGCGGGACGTGAGCACCCTTTCCGTCTTGTATGTGCCAGCCTCACGAATGTCGGCCAGCTGTTCCTGCAGGAGTGCCTGTGTGGCTGCCCAGCCACTGGAGACACGTCGCACAGCATGCCTGCCCACAACTTAAGCACAACCGTAAAGTTATCATACCAACCCACTCACACGAAAATCCTACAAATAGTGGCTGCTTCAACATATCACTAGTCTTGCATAAATTAAGACACAATGTTGATAAGAACTGACACACAATGATGCCAAGGAAAGGGATGTTCTTAGTAGTAATTGTCATGTAAATGTGAAGAAAGGAAAGTGGACGAAAAGATGAACTGTTTGTTTTCATTACTACAGTCTGGTACATGTAAGTCTGTGGCATTACCTCTTCAGAAACACGCAAACCTGCCCTAACGAGCACACTCTCCAGACTGATGGCATAGCAGTTTTTTGCGAAAAATTGCAGAATGCACACATGGGACTTTTTCTTTAGTCACGATGGTGGTCAGCTGCAGTGCTTCAGTCATCGAAACTTGTCAAATTGTCGCAGACTATAAAACAGCTAAGTATATGAACACATATTCATTAAAACTACTCCTAGGTTGTCCCAGCAGTGTGTTTACCCAATGAGCACCTTTTCATTTTACTAGTAACATATAGATTGCATATATTTGCCATGATAACACTACCAAAATATAAAGGGACCCTGAAATAGTTTTGGCAAATCTGTACAAACACACTGAGCCAGTAGACCAAGTCTCAAGGGTTATTTAGAGACCAACTTGAGCTCTCTGCAAAAACTGTAATTTATATAATGCTTCTATAATGCCACTGGCTCTGAAGATAATTCCAATAAATAAATAAATAAAAATTACAGCGCTTTAAAGCTGAAAATCATTGCAGATTGGTGAAACTCAGTTAAACTTGTTTTTGACTCCCCATCAACCTGTCAGCGTGCGATCTGTGAGATCCAGAATGGTAAAGGTTCAAAACGGCGAGTGCGCTCTTGAAAGCTCTGTGATCGCTAGCGTGTCTCAGGAGTTTAAAGGGCCAGGCAGAGGTGAGAAGGAAGGTAATATAATTGTTCATTGTGGCCTTTGGTACATGGTGTGTCACTAAATTTGCGGTGCGAGTGATTTGTTGATGATCTAGCCTAAATGCTGACAAGACTTAAAGAAAAAAATTGGCCCCATATCTGCATGTTACACAGCCAATGTCGCCGAAAGAGAGTGAACATCAGAAAGAGAATGCAGCTGGAGAGAGTGAACAAAACGTTTATTTGATGTTCTGCGCAAGAAAATCGGTGAATTGTATACCGGAGCCGCTGCGCTAGAGTGCCTCGAGCGTGCAGCGGAGGCGAACGAGCGCATTAAGTCACGTCACATGCGAGACATGAGCGCTATCTGGCAGTTATCTTGGAAAACGAAGCGCCCACGTCTTGGAGGTGATAAGGTGCAGAACGCAAGGCGATGCGTAGATGCCACCACAGCGTCATCTTAGCAAAGCGGTGGAAACACTTGCCTTTTCGTGCAAAGGTTGCCTAGTCAGTGCAGCGTGATAAACGCTACAGTCCTTATAATTACTTCTGTATGCCTTTTCTAGTAAAGACACACATACAGAATATTGACGTGTTGTTATGGTGCCTCAGGTATGCACAATAATTGTTTTTTAATTGACAATCACACAAGTATGAACGCTGAATCTTCAGCAATATTGGTGGGTGCTGCGGATGGGGGTCAGCGGTTTGGAGTATCTTTTGGTCACTTTAATGCTTTTAGGGTACCGTTAAGCGCGAACAAACAGACAGCAGCGTTGTGTTTCGCAGCCTTGTGTTTCTTATGCTGTTGAGTGTAGTGGAATATTGTGTAAGGTTGTTTTGCACAGTGTGTTGATCAAAACTGATGTATTTTCATTCAGCTGGCGAAATCTTTATTATAAAAGTAATTAAATAAATGTGTTGTTTAGTTTAGTTAGACCGTGTCAGCTGTGTCCGTTCGCTCCGAGAGCATGAGGCCTCTTTCTGACACCCCACACAATAGAAATTGTCCACTTCGGTGTATACTCATCCTTGGTATCTGGTGGAAGGTATTCCAAATTTCCAAAGGCATTCGCCATTTGATTGTAGTAGTCTCTTCCTCCCCACACACCAGCGTTATTCCCGCTTTCTTGTCGTTAACCTCCCGGGTATTGCACATTGACAAGAGCTCTGAAGGCATTGAAGAGGTCTCTAGAAGTTTCGGTAGATCTTTGTTGGGGGTCTTTCATATCGTATTCTCTGTGGTGGGAACATTAGTCTGCTTCCAATATGTTCCTCTATTTGTCATGAGGTTCAGCGTCTACCTCCTGTGTGACAATATAACTATCGATAAAACACATGCCATAGGTGATGAAGTACTATCGCTTGTACTTCTGTTCTAATCATTTGCCTTATGGTCTGCAAGCAAGCCTGCCAAGCCCTAAATGCATCTTCAATTCTATATTCATTTATTTTCAACAATGACTAGAATAATCTTACAAACTTGAACGTCGGTATACTCTACCTTTGCTTCCAAGTGATTAATGTCAACTGCCTCCTCTACATATTTGTCGATTGCTTTGAGAAGTTCAAACTGGTCAGTCAAAATTTGGTAACTCAGCAACTCACTTTCGATGCTTGCGTGAAAATCTTTCATATTTGGCTACGGCCTTCTATTAGGTCCTCCATAATTCAGTCTAGTGTCAGAAACGTAGAAATCACTGGCCAGCCGCGTCACAAGGCATAGTAAGCATTCCATACTATCCATCAGAAAACCATCACATAATGAAGCTCTGGGCATTCTCGAGATGTCATGCTCCACAATCTGGGTCACGGGTAGGGCAAGGCCTCGCACATAAACTTCACCCAACAGCGGCTTCACAGAAGTCCTCCAGGCTAAAAATGTGGTCAAGAACTCCACTCTTTCTTACTTCTAAAGGACCTTTTTTTTGAGTTTCATGGCACCAAAATGACGAGCCGCTGTCCACACACCAAACAAATGGGTCACAAGCATACCATCCACATTATACTGCTCATGTGCATGATCTCTTTGTCGCCATCTTCCATGCACCATGCGAGCATGATTTTTAACATCCTCCGCATCAAGCAATGTCACTTGCTCAGTTCCAGAGAACAAAGAAGTTGAACCGGTCTCGTGCATTACTTGCTGTCTGCCAATTTGACTTTGCATGACCTGACGTGACCCTTTAAGGCTTGAACAACTCTAGCTGATCTCCAAAATATAATAGACACTTCATTTGTTCTAATAATGAAAACGTCATCACACTCTAAACTATTTCCGAGCTTTTGCGACTTGCTGTGTGTGTTCCTTAGCGTCAGTATGTGTTTTATATACCAGCGTTGCCAAAGTCATATAGTTTTTGTTGTCTACTACAAATCCAGGTGCACAGCATTTCTGTGTGCCCCCACCCCCCTGTCATTGCTAACTTGTGCTCGTGAGACGTCAGTCTTAAGGCCATTCTGCAAGCACAAGTTAATAGGGGCTTCACAAGTAAAGGTAAGAGAGGGCTTCCCCATGGGGAAGGCAGCTTGTCCTTTTCTCTACAATGTCTTCTGAAAACTAGTGCCATATGTGGGACAAGCTGCAGCTCTGAAGCCAAGTTGTAAGGCTCATCGCCTCCCCGAAATTTCCCACCTCACTGCTGCATGACTGTCGGGTTTCCACAGTGCAAGGCCACCACAGCCATAGAACATCTGGTGCGTCCTCACAATGATTACGTAACTGTGCTGAGATCAATAGCTGACAGGGTGTTGCTGCGATGGCTGGGGCACGTCCTTGCCAGAAGCTGTGATAGTGGTCTTCGAACAAACACCGCACTGTTCAACCGCTTGTCCACGCCTATCGTCGTTCCAAGCCCTCTGCTGTCTTCTCTCTCTTAGCCCCTGCGTGAGCATTTCTTACTCCTCATATTCTTTCCTAAATTCTGTCTCCAATCTTCCGTTTTCTTTTTTTCCTCATTCCATATTTCTCTTCGGTAGAGACAAGTCTTTTTACATTAATCTTTCTTCTTAGTTTGCTTTTCTATTCTTTCCCTATTTCACCCTCAAGGTAATAAGGTCAGCACAACCCCACCCCTCTGCAAAAACTTGTCATGCTTCGACTTCTAGCGTGATACTAAAACATTTACATGCCTTCACAGCGACCACCAGCCAAAAAAAAAAATGTCATTTTAGGCACACCTCCCATTCCCGAAAAAAATTTCTTATTGTGCCCTGGGCATAGAAATGAGCTGTTTTTTTTTTTAGCAATGACTATTAGTGATGACTGAAGCTTTTACTGAAGTTGACCTCCCCATCATGTAGAGTCAGTGCATATAAAATTATATTTTCATTCAATAAAGTTTCAGTTTTAAGTAAAACACTGTGTGTCCTTTTTCTCTTCCTTGCATTCAATTTTTATGCTGTTTTTTTTTCTTTCAAAATGACAGATTAGAGTATCACCATCTTCGTCTCAAGATTTTAAAAACATATTATGCTTTCATTTAACACTCTGAACAACTTACATGAGTTTATGCAGCAAGGCCAGAAAACAAAAGCCAGATCATGTAGCAAACAAGACACAAGACTGCAAACACTGAAAGCACATAGCACCTTTTTTTATTTCTATTGTTCTTGCCTGTCAACACATGCACTAATAAGAGGCTGAAACAGGGATGTGTTACAATAACTAAGATCCTTCCTATATTCTGACCTTTAAGAAAGAGTGCCGTTTCAAAAAGGTTTAAGCTGAGCAATGAGGGCAGGATGCAAACAGGAACACACACAAGCGCACCAGCTAACTTCATTTGCGGAAAGCAGGTAAATCCATAAATAGCAAAACGGAACAGTCGCAAGGACACAGTTTGTGTCATTGCAGGTGGAAGTTCTGCCCTTTCTGTCTTCACCACACAGTTTAAACCTTTTTGAAACCACAAACTGACTAGAACAACAACATGCCTTGCTTAAGGAGCCATGCTTCATTAGCTGGGTGCTTCTGCTGCTAAATTGCATGCTGACTAAAGGCAGTGACTATTTGTCTGGCCATGTGTTGGTGCATTCAACACTCAATGCATCGTCTCTAAGAAAGGATGTCGTCAACAATGAGTGACTGCATGCCGAAGCCCTGGCTACACAGAATTGAGGCTCTGTCAGTGAGTTTCTCCTTTACATGAAAACAAAAACGACGCCATGTATCAGGGCCACACATACAGGGCACATACACTGCTCTTAACTGCAGACACAGGTCAGGGCACATGCGAATTGTCCGCAACCCATTTTGGAAACAAAGAAGCTCCTCATTTCCTTATCGAATTACAATACTAGGTTCCCCTGATGCACACACTCAGATAAGAAGCTGCCTTTTCACCAGCAGTTTTCGGCCGTGGCAGGATTTCACTCCAAAAGGTTGCTCCCAATTGCTGCTGGCTGGCCAAATTCACATTCAGCTGATATTTTTATTTCGCTACAACAATGTTGCGCATGATAAATATGTGGCCCTCTTTTCGAATGCCCATAAATAGTAAGACTGCCATGAAAAATCCGTTTGAAGGTTCTTTTCAGGCATGTACAACTCAGGAATTGTCGCATCTAAACAAGAGGTACAAAAAAAACCTTGAAAATCCGTTAATCATTTATCTGATAGAGTATTCATTTCTCAGTCGGAAATCGCATAACCGCGCACGCTTTTCGCGCATGCGCACAGATTCTGCACCCTGTATAAAAGCGGCCAGAGACCTGAAAGTCGGCGCTCTTTCCTGTCTCTGCTGTTTCTTCCTACTACTGTTGTTGCACCGTGGCTCCGACACTCCGATATCACCACGTCTGCAGTGCTCAATGCACAGACCAGCTTACCAGCACCCCCACTCACCCAACCTCCAGCTTTTCACAGCAGCAAGAAATAATTAAACGAAAACGACTGAGCGAGATGATGAAGCGCAGTGCTGCAGTCAACCCAGTAAGTATCCAAAATAGCGTGACACCGACGTGAGAAGCACGCGTACTACCTGGGGAGACCAAATAGCGCTTAATGCGCACCGTCAGCGCAAACCCCTTTCAGTGAAAGCCGCCGATAACGCACCTTGTGTCGTTGTCAGAGCACCTTGTTTGACAACCGCAGACAACATGCTTATCGATCTAATCTTGAACGGCGGGAGCTTCGAAACGCACTGACGAGACAGCAGACAGCGCAGTAACTGTTTAGTGGACTGGCCCACAGAACACCTAACTGGCCGCTCTGGAATGCATACAGCGGTGAGCCTGGATGGATGGATGGATGGATGGATGTGGCTGTACCCTTTAGATCGGGCGGCGGCTAACGTCACCTAGCCGTAATACTTAGTGAACTAATCATTACAATTATCTTTTTTTTTCTTTAAATAATGAAGTTGAGGATTCGTACTTTGCAGTGAAGGGTTTAATTTTCACTCGTTCCTTGACTTTAGCCACCAATCAGATAACCTCCTTCTAGTTAAGTCTACCCGCTTAAAGTCTATTTTGCCCTCGCTGTCCCTAAATCCCAGTGCTTTGAAAAACTCTGCGCAATCATCCTGAACTATAGGGTGAAGCCCTTTACAGATCATTATCAAGTGTTCGGCAGTTTCTTCTTCCTCTCCACACGCACTGCATACTGTGTCTACCCCTTCGTATTTGGCCCGATATGTCTTGGTTCGCAATACTCCCGTCCTGGCCTCAAACAGTAGAGAACTACCCCGAGTATTATCATAGATCCTTTCCTTGGCAATTTCCTGCTTAAAAGTTCCATATATCTCTAGTGCGGACTTCTTAATCATACCCATTCTCCACATGTCAGTCTCCGTTTCCTTCACTTTCTTCTTAACCGATAGTTCTTTTTGGTTTGGCCACCTGCTGTTTTCTAAGTATTTACCAGTCAACTTCCTGGTTCGCTTCCTCCATTTTGTATCGACATTCTTCATGTACAAGTAGCTGAAAACCTTCCTAGCCCAACGCTCCTCCCCTATTTCTCTCAATCGCTTCTCAAATTTTATCTTGCTGCTAGCCTCCCTGCCCTCAAATGATGTCCATCCCATATCGCCTTGTACTCCCTGATTTGGTGTATTCACGTGAGCTAGCCCAAACCAACGCTCCTCCCCTATTTCTCTCAATCGCTTCTCAAATTTTATCTTGCTGCTAGCTTCCCTGCCCTCAAACGATGTCCATCCCATATCACCATGCACTCCCTAATTTGGTGTATTCCCGTGAGCTCCTAAAGCAAGCCTACCTATTCCACATTGCTTAATTTCTAATCTTGCTTGAACTTCTGATCTCATGCACAAGACCGCATTGCCGAACGTCAGCCCAGGAACCATCACCCCTTTCCCTATTCCTCTCACAACATCATACCTATTGTAATTCCACAGTGCCCTATTTTTCATGACTGCTGCATTCCTGTTACCTTTAGTCGTCACGTATATTTCGTGTTCCCTCAGATACTCGGTCCCATTGCTTATCCATACGCCCAGATATTTGTATTTATCTGTTATCTCTAGCGTGACCTCCTGTATTCTAAGCTCACTACCTTCGTTGTCATTGAAAATCATGACTGCTGATTTTTCCTTACTGAATCTAAAATCTAACCTATCTCCCTCATTACCACAGATGTCCATCAATCTCTGCAAATCTTCCTTGTTGTTGGCCATTAGCACTATATCATCTGCGTACATTAATGCTGGTAGTGCCTGATCAATAAGTTTTCCTTGTTTGACTAAAGAGAGGTTGAAGCCCAGTCCACTTACCTCTAATTTTGCCTCTAATCCTTGTAGGTACATCATGAATAATAAGGGTGAAAGGGGGCACCCCTGCCTAAGCCCCCGTTTTACCTCTGCAGGCTTGGATACCTGTTTTTCCCACTTTATAACTACCTTGCTACCTTTATAGATACCTTTTAAAAGATTAGTGACTACATGTTCTATGCCTAGTGTGTCCAGTATTCCCCACAATACCTCTTGAACCACGCTATCGTACGCTCCCTTGATATCCAAAAATGCTAGCCGCAGGGGCCTGTGTTCCTTTTCTGCTATTTCGATGCACTGCGTCAGTAAGAACAGATTGTCTTCCGACCTCCTGTGTTTCCGAAACCCATTCTGCAGTTCCCCCAGCACCCCCTCATCCTCTATCCATGCCTGCAGTCTTTCCTTTATAACCTGCATCGCCAGCCTGTAGACCACTGATGTCACTGTTATAGGACGGTAGTTGTTTATGTCAGCTTTGTCCCCCTTTCCTTTATAGATCATGCTCATCCTGCTAAGTTTCCATCCATCGGGAACTTCACCATCGATTATTATTGTGCTCACTGCCTCTCTCAAAGCCTGCTTAGACTTCGGACCTAAGGTCATTATCAGCCTAATTGGAATGCCATCTGGGCCTGTTGATGTACTACTAGGAACCCTTTTCTCAGCCCTTTCCCACTCCCGTTGTGAAAATGGAGCCATTGCACCACTTGATTCGTCATTGTCTATTGTGGTGCATAAAGTGCTTCTTTGTTGAAATTTTTCTGTCACCCTTGTTCTTATATCGTGCCCTTCTAGCCTAGCACCTTGGGCTGTCGTTATAAACCTCTGCACTAGGCTCGTCTCATTTCTTAGGGAGTTTAGATGGTTCCAAAATTTCGCAGCTGCCTTTCTATCTTTTTTATGTACTTCTGCCAGCCACTGAGCTCCCTTTCTTTTAATCTTTTCATTGATCAGAAGAGATGCATCCCTTCTACAGCTTAGAAAGGTTTCCCATTTTCTTTCAACATCATCTGTCGGTTCGCCCCGTTGCTTAGGATATCTGTGTTCCCTAGAGGCTTGCTGACGTTTTGCTATGGCCCTCTTAACTTCCTCATCCCACCAACTTTTGGGTTTGTGTCTTGTTTTCCGTGGTGACTTGTCACGCGTCTTGGCAAGCTCTAGCTCAAAGAGTCTAATTAAATTTGTGTATGTCCACGCTGTCTTATTATCCTCCGTGATTACTTTCTCAATTTGTTTAGTGGCTATTTCAATTTGCCTTTCTGGATAAAAATTTTCCTGTAGTGGCTCATCTTGTCTCCTTCCCACTTTCACTGCTCTTCCAAAACTTAGCTTGATACGTTTGTGATCACTACCCAGACTTCTGGAGCCACCTTCATCTATGTGCATTCCCCTGAGCTTATCATAAATCCTATGTGACATCAGTGCATAATCTATCGTCGACTGCAGCCTTCCTACCTCCCATGTTATTTTCCCTTCACACTCCTCGGTACTGTTGCAAATGATCAAATCAAGCCTTTCACACATATCCATGATCATTTTGCCTGTCGGGTCGGTATACCCATCTATATCTTCTATGTGCGCATTCATGTCTCCTAGTATAATTATCTCGCACTCTCTTCCTAACTCCTGAATGTCCTTTGATATACACTCTACCATTGCCTGGTTTTCTTCTCTGGCCTTTGCTCCCGTCCACAAGTACATGAAACCAAGGAGTGTCATTTGACCTGCCACTTTCCCTTTTAGCCATAAATGTTCCTTGTATTTCCTGCTTGACCCTATGCCAGTCTGTACTTTTATAAATGAATGCCCCAATACCACCCCCCTTTCTGCTGCCTTCTGTTCTATTACAATATTCGCACGCGTAGTCCGGATTGTTCGGAGGTTCTTCCATGTCCCTGAGATGTGTTTCTACAAAACCGTATACCATCGGCCTCTCTTCCCTTAGCTGTTCTTCTATCTCTTTTCACTTCAGCCTGTTCCTACCACCTTGCATATTAATATACCCTATGTCTGAATTGGCTCGGCGCTCGTGGCTACGTCTATTTATGTCCCGGACTCTACCTATTGTAGATATTGGTGCCACTTTGTAATCGTATCTGTTCATACCACGTGTCGAAGAGTCTCCCTGGTTGTTTTCCTCGTTGCTAGCTATCCTGCACCCAGAAGGGCTCGCTTGCCCCCAAAAAAGCTACTGCGCGTCCTGCAAGTCGCCAACCCACCTCATGACCTAGCCGCCCATCGAAGTGAATTCTGTCTCGTTGAAAACCACCCCACCTATGCACCTCTCTGTTTATTTCCACCACCTCAAAGCATTTCTCTCGACTCATCCGCCATATCTATTGGTTTGCGTTGACAACCGCTCTTTGGAGGTTGCTATCACGCACCGGTACCTCCGGTATCGTGCATACCACACCTGCACCTCACGAGAAGTGGCGCGCTTGTCATCGACAGCTTTCGCCAGAGTGGCTGCTAGTCCTCTATATCTTCATTTAAGACATCGTTTAAACCGCCTGAAATTATCACGAGGTTTCGTCTATCAGCTGTTGTTTTGAGTTTTGCGCTCGCTTGCCTCATGACTGCTTCAAAGCTTGCGTCCTGGGAACGCCCCTACTGCAACCCTCTTGTCACCTCTTACCCTCTCTTTGATGGCTTCTGTGCATCGATTTAAATTCGAGTCCCCGGCGATTATCACATGCTGTGACTTTTCAGCTGGAGCGTCCTGCACCTGGGGGCTACTTGCACCTGTGACGCCGGCTGCTTTGTTCCCTCCCAGCCAAACCACTACCTCGCTGAAGCTGGCCCTTGGGACAGTTGAACCGGCTGAACCTGCTTTTTCCAAACTTGCTTGCTCTCCCTTCTCCACCGTTCTTCTTGCCGGTTCCCTACTGTTCTCTCCGCAGTCCGCTTCTTTGTTCAGCTTCGCTAGTGCTTCCTCGGCGGACTTCAGTCTTTCTCCCATTGCCATCGTTTTCTCTTGCTCTGTCGCCAACGCGGTATCGAGCTCGGCGATTCTCGTCAGCAGTTCACTCTGGGCAACCAACATTTTCTCCATTTTTTTCCTCGACTTCACATTGCCTACACTTCGCGTCAGCCTCTTCTCCATCCGCTTCTACGCTTGGGTCCACTTTCAAACCCACTCCACATCCTGAACACTTTACAGTCTTTTAAAAAATGTCTTTCAGACATCAATTGTCCCTATAATCGATAATTACTAAACTCGAGCCCTGCACTACGAAAAAAAAAGGAAGTCTAAGCTCTACTACAAAAATTTGCGTGTTCAATGTACGCGCACCTCCCCCACGGGGTGGCAAAAGAAAAAAACAACAAAAAATTCAAACACACACACCCGCACTAACTAATAAATACCTGGTGACTGGCCCCCTAAAAAGTCGTACCATAAAATAAGTGCTACGAAGATTTCAGCCGCTGGCTTAATTAAAAGACAAGCTCAAAACATGTAAAAACACTTATCTGCGCAGTCGATCCGGAGCGCCCAAAAAACAC